AAATCTTTAAAATATATATATAGTAATATATTTTCAAATAAACAAAAATATCTATAATTTATTAAGTATCTATATGTGACTGATACTCCTGCGTGTTTTATATAATCTCATTGGGTTCTATGATCATCATATATGTTACCATTATCATTGAACAAGTGAAAAACCCGGGGCTCTCAGAAGTTAAGTAGCTTGGCTTGTTCAAAGTCACCAGCCTATAATCAGCGAACCTGGGATACAAACACAGATCCATTATACTGCATACCCATAGTCTTTGCACATTTGTATCAGTATAGGAAAATTTCCAGTTACTTTTACATTTATTAATTCCATTTTAAGAAGTTGCATTTTATCATTCTCAAAATGTCATCCCTAATGCATTTTGCCCCGCATCCATAACACCTCATATTTGAAAAGTAACTTATTTTTTCAAATGCTCTCCATCTTCTCATTTAATTCTCATAGCATTGGGAAGGGTGTATTTTAATTCCCATTTTACACATAATGAAAATTGAAATGCAAAGATTTTAAGTGCTTTGCATAAAGAAACCAATTAGTGGCTGAGCCAGCATTCAAAGTGAAGTGATCTTACTCCACATCCAACACTCTTTTCAATACACAGATGGAAGTTGACTTGAGACTGGGATTACTGAACAAAAAGTGGAGGAAAAAAGTAAAATTCCCAAAAAGACTTTAAAATAATTTCAAGAGTATCACCCTCTTTCCAGTCTCTATCCACCAGGGTAACCAAAATTACGTGTACTGTGTACCTTCTAATATTTTTAAAAAGAGCTAATAAAAACATATACACATGTATATGATTTTAAAATTTTTAGTGTTTTGAATTACCATCATACTATAGATATTATTTGCAATTAGATTTCTTTTCAGTTTACATTACTCCAAATAAATCACGTGGATCTCATTACTTTTCAAGATATGGGAGAATTTACATATGAACATGTTTAAAACAAGGACAGAAATTCAATTCAACAAATATTCATGGAGTACCTACTATGTGCCTGGCATTGTTCTGTGCAGGCTGGGATACAGCAACACATAAAACAAAGTGCTTACCCTCAGGCTACCACAGTTTGCCACTGTGTAGCCACCCTGCTTTTATCGTTAGCAGCTTTAGCATATGTGTTTGCCAGTACAACATATAATTTATTATATTAACAGTGGCATAAATTCTATACCATGGGTATATAAGAATTTATTCAGCCATGTATTTATTGGTTGACATTCAGTTTATTCTTTGTTTTGATTTTTACAATGTTGCAATTAACACCCAAATTACATATATTCAATGTAATAATGCCTTTATTTTTTCTGAAGGATTGGTTTTAAAAGTAGGATTGTTGACTCAGCAGTATGCGTGTGTGTGTGTGTGTGTGTGTGTATACATACATACATTCACAGACACATCCATAAATATATGGTTTAATATTTTTAACTTTAAAAAATTTTTTATTTATTTTTTAAGTAATCTTTACACCCAACATGGGGCTTGAACTCACAAACCCAAGATCAAAGTTGCATGCTCTACCTGAGCCAGCCAGGCACCCCATTTATGGTTTAACTTTCAATAAATTCATTAAATTACTTCTAATAAAAGGCCGTTGCAATTATATTCTTCCACCAGGTTATGACAGTGCTGATTTCCCTACATCTTTACCAATACTTTTTTTTTTTAGATTTTATTTATTTATTTGACAGAGAAAGACACAGTGAGAGAGGGAACACAAGCAGGGGGAGTGGGAGAGGGAGAAGCAGGCTTCCCGCGGAGCAGGGAGCCCGATGCGGGGCTCGATCCCAGCACCCTGGGATCAGGACCTGAGCCAAAGGCAGACGCTTAATGACTCAGCCACCCAGGCACCCCATCTTTACCAATACTGAATTTAAAGTGTTTGAAAATTCTGCCAAGCTGATAGACAAAAAAAGTTTGATATTACTGACTTGGTCTACATTCCTCTGGCTTTTCTACTAGAGATGTGGTTGAGCATCCTGATATATGTTTATTGACCATTTGTATTTCCCTCCACTTAATAACAATAGCTAATATTAGAGTCAGGCACTGGAATGTGCATCATCTCATTTGACTATCACAACAACCCTACCAGAGGGATAGCGTCTGCTTTCCTCCAGCCCTTTTACAGATAAGAAAACCATTTCCGAGAGGTTATGAAATTTGGCCAAGGTCACACAACTGGCACGGTGATAGAGCGAGGATTTTAACAAGTCTGACTATAAGGCTTCTGGGCTTAACTACTACACAAACTGCCTCTCCTGCCAAGGAACATTTTCAAGTCATTCTCTCCAGCCTTATTCCCTCCCTTCTAGTGAAGTCTGAACAACTTGGATAAACACAAATATTTGATGGGTCCCTTTGCAGAAGACACTATGGTAGATATTATTGGGTGATCTGAAAAAGAGCTCCTGCCCCCAATCTTATTGGGGAGCCAAAATACATTTTATGTAAGGAATATATGTATCAGGGGTTTTTTTTTAAGGGATTTTATTTAATGTTAACGACTATGGTGTGGTTAGCAAATTTGTCAATGTAGAGAAGCAAATAATTACACAAAACTCTGCAGCCTACAAAATTTGATACTATTCAAAGAGTAGTGCAGGAAATATGGCGAACAATTCAGAAATGAGAGAAATCTGATGTATTTTTGTAGAATAATGTAGGAAACAACTCACTTTCGAGATGGTGGTATTTCTAAAGGAAAGCAATACTAATCTGACTGAAAAAAAAAACTGCGATACGACCCTTCCCAACCCATTTGTCCTCACTAACAAGCTTCTCCATTCCCCAGGTGTGCTCAGTGGCTCTGGTACTATCCACCTAGGTGGTGCTGAAGCAGGTGTGTACTGTGCGCTTTGTGAAACCATTCTCAGTAGAGCCTTAATACCCTTGGACTCCTCCTGCTTCCAAAATCACGAGCTGTCAACGGACTTCTCCCATGGAGACGCTCTAATCACGCTATTATGCCAATCTAAATTCTGCCGTGTCGCAAGGGGTGCCCTGTCAATAATCTTGGCCACAAACTATGCCTTAGACATAAGCCTTTTACAGGGTTAATAGCTCACCTTTCAAGATCCATGTAAATATAACTCATTACACCGTGTCATTCTTGAGACAAGAATATGCATAATAGAAATACACACCTACAAGAAGGTGCAGTTCCTTGAATATATATTGGTTATTTTCTTTTTCTTTTTCTGGCACACATTTCTAATCCAGTGTAGCTTTCAGGTCACATTAGATGGAATTGCGCCTTCCCTCGGCCATTTCCCCTAAGCTTTAGAAAGACTCTTATTTCCTGAAATTTAAATCACTGGCTAGCTGTTTCCTGCCCCATTTCCCGTCTCCCTTTTGCCTCTCAGCCTCCTCCTGCCTGCCTGGGGACCGATTCTCCAGCAATGATGTCCACATCCCTTAGTCGACCAAAATGGTATCCAGATTCCGAGGTCTCGGTCCTTGGTGTAGTGTTGCTTAACCCCAGTACCCCAATACCTCCTCCCTCCCAATCCTATCCTCCGCCCGCCCCGCGCGGCTCTAGGAGGAGCCTAAATGTCCTCTTCTCCAGCTGAAGGGGATTGTGGTGCGTAAGCAGGATTAACTCTCTCGCCCCCAGCTGCGCGGATCTGCCCCAGGCCTGCGGGCCGGAGCGAACCCATCAGGGCGCGGAGGGCGCAGCACCGGGGCGGGGGATGGGGAAGCTCGGGGCCTCGGAGCTGTCTCCCGGGCGCGCTTCCTTGCGGAGTGGGGCGGAAGGCCACGGCCTCCGGAGCTGGTCCTCAAAAGCCAGGGCGAACGGCCGCAACGGCGCGGGCTCCTAGCTGCAGCCTCCCCTCCGCCACCTCCCTCTCCCGCCCCGAGCTTCCTCTCCGCCCACCGCGCTCCAGCCGCTCGGTCGCAGCCCGCGCAGTCCTCCGCCCGGCGGAGCCGCCGCGCTCGCTCCGCGCCCAGCCATGGGGGACCTGCCGGGTCTCGTGCGCCTCTCCATCGCCCTGCGCATCCAGCCCAACGACGGCCCGGTCTTCTTCAAGGTGGACGGCCAGCGCTTCGGCCAGAACCGCACCATCAAGCTGCTCACCGGCTCCTCCTACAAGGTGGAGGTGAAGATTAAGCCCACCACGCTGCAGGTCGAGTGAGTAAGCGCGCGCACCGGGGCTGCCCGACCCCACCTTGGGGTCAGCGCGGAGGACCGAGGCCCCCGGGGCAGCCCGAGCCTCTCCCCCGCCACTCTGGCCTCGCGTCGTGCCCAGCGGCCCAGGGGTGGGGGGAAGAGGTCAGTCCCTGTTCCTTTTGGTCCCCTCCTCTGTTTTACGCTTGCTTTTCCCTATTCACGCTTCCTTCCACCCGTCTTGGGGAGGGATGTTTAAAACAACGTCAGGAAGCCAGGGTTGGGGGGAGGGTCACGGGGGGTTATTTTCTTGTAAATTTTTCATTCCTTCTGCCCAGCCCTCGGCGCACCCCCAGGCGCCCCGGATTGTTCACCTACCGCAATCCCAGCCCTCCTCTCCCCAGCCCTGGCGTCCCGCGGGGTTCTGCCAACCGCGAGGCCGAAGGAGGGAGAAAGGCTGAGGAGTGAGGTGTAAAGGCGAGGGTGAGGTAGTTACTGGGGCTCCCTAAGGGACGCTCCCTATTCCACCATCCATCCACCCTTACGTGGCTGGAGACCGTGGGGTTGGAGGGGCAACCACAAGTCAGAGCACAGCCTCCTCGCCTTGGGCCTAGTCTCACCGTTTTCCCTGCCATGTGTTTTTCATTTTCTCCTGAGTTGTTTGTTCACCCTGGGGATGGTGCCTGGGATTCGCCATATCCTTGCAACAGAAGGATGTTTCTTGGTTTATTTGTGGCAGGGATTATCTCTTCCCTGCTACCACAGTTTGGTGCACCCACTAGACTTCTGGCTAGAAAGTCAGAATGGAAGGGTGCCATAGCTTATAGGGAAGTATCTAGGGATGAAGTTCTTTACCTCTCAGCTTCCACCTAAGCATGGTGTGAAGTCTAATGTGGAAGCGGGGCGTTGAAGGGCTTTGAGTCCACCAGATAACTTTTATAGCTGCAGTCTCCATCGATAGTCATTAATTCAATAAACTTGTGTTGGCCTTCTAGGTGTCAGGCCCTAATTCAAGGACCTAGAACCACACTGGGTTGTTTCTAGTGCTCCTGGTCCCCCTGCTTGTCACCAACCCCCCACAGCGCCACACACCAGTTACCTTCACATTTCCCAGTGTTCCGTGTATCTCCATATAATCCAGACTTTTCCTTTCCCTTATTTCCTGGCCAATTCTCCCAAGTTATCTGTTCTCTATCCCATTTTCTTCAAGGTGGTTCTCTATTTTTTTAACTAATCTAAAATGAATTTGTGTTAATGACAGAACTTTTTCTATTTACATTTTAATTTTATCAAGGGTGTTTCATTGCCCTAAACTAGTAGTTCCTAAACTTGAGTGTCTGTCAGAACCACCTAAAATGCTTGTTAAAACTCAGATGGCTGAGCCCCACCCTCGAGTTTCCAGTTTACTATGTCTGGGGTAGGGCTTAAAAACTTGTTTTCTAATACGTGAGCAGGTAATACTGACACAGCTGATCCAGGGACTAACCCTTGAGAATCGCTAACTTAACACAAAGGAATGATGCCAGTGAGAATTTCTGGTTGTGTGGTTGGCTTTGTGTACCCCAAATCAGGGGATCTCTGATTGTTGGGACAGAAAAAAATCATTTAAGAGCTAGTTCAGTGGTTCTTGGTTCTCAACCCTACCTGTATATTAGAATCACCTAGAGAAACTTAAAATACATTTACCGTGCCCAAACCATACCTGACCACATTGAATTCTAAATTCTGGGGTTTGGGATGAGGCTGGGTATAGGTAAGTTTTTAATAGTCCCACAGATAAGAAACTATAGAGTAGGACTGATAGAGTTCGACTCAGTCTTGTACAAGTAGTCTGGATGAGAATACTAAGGTCAGTCCAGAGAGATTAAGTAGTTGCTCTAGGGTCACGTGACTGGTAAGGTGGAGAACTCAAGCCTCCTGACCTTTCAGAACTTTCTACCCCACCAGATGTCTCCTTTAATCAAACCCTGTAGGATTCCTGCCTAGGGTTATGGTCCAGACCAGGACAGGGTGCCTAAATTAATTCCTACCATATATAGTCAACTCCAGTCCATTGCAGGAACATTTCCATTGGTGGTGTGGTTGTCCCACTGGAGCTGAAGTCTAAAGAGCCTGATGGGGACAGAATTGTTTATACGGGCACATATGACACAGAAGGTGTGGCCCCAACCAAGAGTGGAGAACGGCAACCCATCCAGATCACAATGCCGGTAAGGCCTGCATGAGGGTGTCAGGGCAAACAGAAACCATGGAAGAGAAAACAATCAGTATCTCCCCTTAAGAAATAAAAGGAAATATTATGAAATTATGAAATATTATCTTAATTCATAGTTTCATATTGGAATCTATTTGTCCATAATATCCTAATACAATTAATTAAATAATTAAATGCTTCTTCAATGGTCAGTTTCAAAGTAATTTCTTATATGGCAAAAAAATTAAATCTCTTTCTATACTTTCTAATCTATTCCATTGATCTGTCTATTCTTATGCTAATATGCATTGTTTTAAATGTATTGCTTTTATTGTGTGTTCATGTATTTTGTAACTGGTCCTCTTATTGAACTTGCTTACTAAAACTTTTCATTTAATCTCAGGTTTTTCAGATTGGCAGTCATAATCTACATACAACTATCATTTTCTGAATCTTCTTTCTAGCCTTACTGCATTGGCTAATGTTTCTAGAATAATGTTGCTCAGTAATGGTGGTAAGAGGTATCCTTGCCTTCAGGGTTTTTCTGTTAGGTACAATGTTTGTTTTAAATATTTATCGTGCTAAAGCATCCTTTTTTCTAGCTCACTAAGAGACATTTTTAAAAAAGATTTTATTTATTTATTTGAGAGAGCACAAGTGAGCACTAACAGTGGGGAGGGGCAGAGGGAGAGGGAGAAGCAGACTCCCCGCTGAGCAGGGAGCCCTATGTGGGGCTTGATTCCAGGACCCTGAGATCATGATCTGAGCCAAAGGCAGATGCTTAATGACTGAGCAACCCAGGCGCCCCAAGACATTTTTTTAATTGGGAGATGTGTTGAATTTTATCTAATTCCTTTTCCCATCTATGGAGATAATCTCTTTTGATACATTAATAATTATATAATACACTACCCTTTATTTCCTAAAATAAACCCTACTTAAATGTTACGTATTTTTGAAAATATGTCACTAAATTCAATATGCTAATATTTTATTTAGGATTTTTAGATTTCTATTAATTTTTTATTTGCTTGATTCATCAACAAATATATGGAGATTTCTTGCCTATCAAGCACTGGAAGAGGATTAATGAACAAAATAGATATTCCTGGCTTCATGGGGCTTCTAATCCAGAGAAGGAAAACATACTTTATATGTGATTATCAATAATAAAGTAAATAATTATTATTACACAAAGTGTACTAAAATCGTGGTGCCCTTGGAGCATGTATCAAAGGTTTTATTCTAATCCAAGATTTTGGGGATGGTTTTCGTGAGAAATAAACAATAAATGAGCACTGAGAGAAGAGGGAACACTTGAGGAAAGAGGAGTTACAGAGATCAAGAGCTGGGGGGAGAGCGTAATGTGTTGTAATGAAGGAGAGAAGCCCAATGTGGGTGGAGCAGAGAGTGAGGCAGAGACTGGCTCAAGATGATAAAGCTGGAAGAGCATAGGTGGATTCCACTACCTGATCTCTGAGGCCCCTTTCAGCTCTAACGTGGTATAAGGATTACAGATTTACCCTTAAGGGGATGATGCTAGTTATGTGGTGAAGAAAGTCAGATTCTCAAATACTATCATTTAGGAACACACCAAATAGGACTGAAGGCCAACAAGTCCCTGTAGGATTCCTTTTTATTGGGCACAGATACAGAGAGGAGGGCTGGGGATACATCCCAGCATCTCAAGGGATTTGCAGGATTTAAAAAAAAAAAATGTTAAATAACATAAGTTTCAGAAATTTGAGCAAATTTTTAAAGCAACAGTAATCCCTACATTTTGACTCAGTTCATTTTCAGATTACATTCCACCTGTATACATTTTATAGTTGCAACCATTTTATTATGTAATTGTCCAACATTCTACATATTCATTGTTATAGTTTTAATGGCAATATAAGACTCTACCATGCTGTATTGTAGTGATTAGACTACTCCTCAGATATTAGATATGTCAATTGTTCTCATAGTAAAAAGTGCTATAATGAATTATTCTGTGCTGCTACTTCAATAGGAGTAAAATTATTTGGTCAAAAGGAATGAATTTTTTTTAAAGATTTTATTTATTTATTTGAGAGTGAGAGAGAACATGGGGGGCAGGCAGAGACAGAGGAAGAGGGAGAAGCGGACTCCCCGCTCAGCAGGGAGCCCGACGCGGGGTTCTATCCCAGGACCCTGCGATCATGACCTGAGCCGAAGACAGGCACTTAACTGACTGAGCCTCCCAGGCGCCCCCAAAAGGAATGAATTTTATGGCTATTCCCACGTACAGCCATTTCGGGTATTTTTTTAAAGTGTTGTATGTGACATTTTACAATGTTTTGTTTTTTTTTAAAGATTTTATTTATTTGACAGAGACGAGGAGAGAGGGAACACAAGCAGGGGGAGTAGGAGAGGGAGAAGCAGGCTTCCCACCCAGGCGCCCGACATTTTACAATGTTAGCAGCAGTATAGAAGTCTGGTGGCTTTGCTATAATTATGACAGCATTGGGAATTATTTTAAAAAATAAATTTTCCGGGGCGCCTGGGTGGCTCAGTCGTTAAGCGTCTGCCTTCAGCTCAGGTCATGATCCCAGGGTCCGGGGATCGAGCCCCGCATCAGGCTCCCTGCTCAGCAGGAAGTCTGCTTCTCCCTCTCCCACTCCCCCTGCTTGTGTTCCCTCTCTCGCTGTGTCTCTCTGTCAAATAAATAAATCTTTAAGAAAAATAAAAACTAAAATTAAATTTTCCTAGTTTACTTTTTACTATCATTTACAAGAATGAACATTTCAACATTTCGTTTTATTTTTGTGTGTGTAAATTAGTTCTTTCGTGTTTTGTTAATATTTCTATGGAAGATTTTTTTTAAAAATCAGAGTCCTAGGAGTGCCTGGGTGGCTCAGTTGGTTAAGCCTCATGATCTCTCCGGTAGTGGGATTGAGCCCCACGTCTGGCTCTGCACTCAGCAGGGGAGTCGCTTGAGATTCTCTCTCTCCCTCTTCCTTTGCCCCTCCTCCCGCTTGTGTGAATACACCGATGCACTCTCTTTTTCTCTCTCTCAAGTAAATAAAATCTTAAAAAATCAGAGTCCTAGTAAAGATTTTTTAAAGATCTGTCATATCTGTCCTATTTCTCTCAGTATTGCTTTGCTTACATTTTCCATTGTGTAGAAACATAATTACATTTAAACCTCTCATTTTCCTTTATGATTTCTTATATTTAAATTTGAGAAAGTTATTTTTCCAGAGTTGACAGTCTATTTCGATTTGTTCTGCAATTTTAGATTTTGTTATTTAACTTTCCCCTCATTCAAACTTGATTTATATGTTTATACTGTACATCATCTTACAAAGGATTTAAGATGGTATTAGCATTTTATGAGTCTCAATAGTAAAGCCTAGGTTCTTAATGGAATGTCCACATCTAGAAGAAGCAAGTGATTGATAGTTGATTTTTTCCAACAATGATCACATGGCTTTTGGTATGAGCATTGGCCATGTATTTGTATCTTATCTGTAATAGGCTGATTCTAAGGAAAACAATAGAAGTTAGAGAAGTTTTCCTGATCCTGATTAAGTCAGCAGTTCTAATGTTAAATTCAAATTTCATTCTAGTAGTGAAAGCCTCACATAGCCTTTAACCTATTTTATGACTTTTGTCATCAATGTCATCAATGTTTCAAGCTTAAATAAATTACAGACACAACCACACCTTCAGAGACAACAAGGAAGTCTTGAAATGTGCAAGTAATCCAATGAATCAAATAGGGGAATCCAGTAAGGGAAGCTGAATTAAGGATATACAAGAGCAACTTCTTAGGAGTGTAAAGTTACTTCAAAGTATTTTTTTTTTATTTTTTAATCATTGGATAAATAATGCTGGGGTTATTGGCTAGTTGGGGGAAACGTCACTATTATTCTTTCCTGATACGATACTCTAAAATATATTTCAGATGGTTCAAGGGGTTAACTGTAAAAAGTCAACTTTTTAAAAAATTGATATGAAAAGAATTAAACCCAAAAGAAATAGAAGATATCCAAAGCTAAAAATTGAAAGCTTTGATTACATGCACTATAAAATTCCTGTCAAAAATCATGAAGTTAAATTATATTTTCATTAAGAGAATTTAAATTAAAAGGCAAGTAACAATTGGTGAAAAACTTACGTGTAACATGCACAGTCTCCCAGGCTATGTGGCCTTGATTTTCAGCCACTGCCGGTGCAGACTTGGCTTGCAGCCCACAGTGACTTTCCACAGCCCTTTACTGCCCACGGAAGCTGAAGTCAGGAAGTAGTCCAATGATATCTGACTTAGGTTGATGGCAGTGATCTCTTTATTCAGATATTTCCAGGGGCCCTGGTAGCGGGAGTGAATTACCCGGCTCTAAAATCTCTCAACCCCCATTTCAAACAGCAGTGTTGACTTGTACCTTAGTGTGACTGATGCCCCATTCAGTCCCTCCTAGGGGAGAGTCCAGGTGGAGATTCTGTCTGCACACATCACACCGTGGTTCCCCTTTTGTTGGCCCTCTTCAGTGAGAGACTGATGGGAGTTAGGAGGAATAAGGTAACAGGGTATGCAAGCTTGTTAGGAGGCTGTGCGTGCAGAGGTAGGCAGCCGTATGCATGTCCTCCCAAATAGAAAAGTTGTTCCTTTGTGTCTGCTCTGTGGAGTCATTTGGAAAGATCTGTAACTTAATATATAAATAATTCTTAGAAGCCAATGAGAAAAAAAATAACAATAGGATGTGGGAAATGGGAAAATAAGCAAAAATAAATAAATAGGCAATTCACAGAAGAAGAAATACAAATAATAAATGTATATTTTTTAAAATTTTTATTGTTATGTTAATCACCATACATTACAGCATTAGTTTTTTGGTTTTTTTGTTTTTTTTAAGATTTTATTTATTTATTTGACAGAGAGAGAGAGACACAGTGAGAGAGGGAACACAAGCAGGGGGAATAGAAGAGGGAGAAGCAGGTTTCCTGAAGAGCACGGAGCCTGATGCGGGGCTCGATCCCAGGACCCTGGGA